GGGGGAGGGATTATGCTGGTGGGTGACTGTCCGCGCTGCCAGGGACCGGGAGGGGGGAGAAGCGAAGCGCAAGTGACCACCCTAGAGAAAATGGGCGGCTGGCCTGCTTGCTTTGGGCATCACAATTGCCTCCCAGGGGCGCATGAGCACCCGGTAGCTCGCTATCTCGACTTGCCCCACTGCTGAGCGGTCCCCGCCACCGCACTTAGGGGCGCGATCCCTCCCTCCGTCTGTCCCTCCCTCCCTCCCTCCGCGTCACCCACCGGGCCACCTCCGCGCGTGTGGTCACGGTGTCCCGGCCACGGATTGGGCCAACTCTGGCTCCTCCCACCGCCGAGGCCTTCAGAGCCTCCACGCCTGTCCCTGCTGGAGCAGCTGACCGCAAAGACTAGGCTATGGGCGCCGCGGGCTCCTCTGCGCTGGCCCGCCTGGGCCTCCCCGCGCTGCGCCTTCCCGCGCAGCCCCGGTCCGCCTGGCTTGGGGTGGCCGCGCTGGGACTGGCCGCGGTGGCCCTGGGGACTGTCGTCTGGCGCCACGCGCGGCCCAGGCGGCGCCGGCGGCTGCAGCAGGTGGGGACCGTGTCGGAGCTCTGGATCTACCCGGTCAAGTCCTGCAAGGGGGTTTCGGTGAGCGAGGCCCAGTGCACGGCCATGGGGCTGCGCAGCGGCTACCTGCGGGACAGGTATGGCGAGCCGGGGCAGGGGACAGCACGGGACCTGCTGGGGATATGGTGGGGTGGAGGAGGTGGGGCTTGTCCCGGGAAAGGAGAATAGAGATTTGCCACGTGGGTTTTCAGGTCTGCTTGTTGGAGCCTCTGCCCTTGATCCCTTAGCTGGGAAGGTCAAGTTCTTGTCTGATTCAGGTTCTGAAAGGTAGATAGGGGCAAGCCCCTGCTCTTTTCCGGGCTGGAGGTTCCTCCTCTGTAAAAGGACGGGTCTGACCTGGTTATCTCCAGGGATCCTGTTCGTTCTAAACTTTCTGATTCTACCTGAATATGTGACACAATAGTAGAAAAGCAAAATGCCATCGGCACGCGTGGGCTGACTGAGCAACACTGAAACCAAGTCTTGTTCAGGGACATTAGCTTTGGTCTTGTTGGGGCTTGTTGGTCATCATCTCCAGTCCCAGGCAAGGTGCCTGGGAGACCCAAGAGGTGGGGACATCTGACCCATTTTCATTAGTAATGAGCAGAGTGAAGTCTTCTCCTGGGGACATGGGTTGTCAGAGGGACAAGTGTAATGCTTACCACTAAGGGAACAGTGTGTCTGTCCCCTTCTCCCAGAGGCAGTGTGATCCTCAGGGAAGAACTTTAGGTAAAGTCCCTACCCACATAAGACCTGGCACATAGACATTTCACTCTCTCTCAGAAAAGAAAGGGTGCCCTGTCATTTAACTCACCCCAAAGGTGAGGCACACACACATCTCACTGACACAGAATTATACAGCTGGATATGGCGAGGGCTGTCCCCAGACAGTGATCCACTAGCCCTAGAAAGAGTGATCCAAAAACGACGAAACCTCCTTTGCTGCCTTAGGTCAAGATGCCTTCCTATCTGGCTGGATGGTTTAGCCGTGGTCTTGTATCTAGGGCGAGGGAGGTTTGCAAGTTGGTCATTCAAGGAACCTTCTAGCAGAGGGAGTCTGCTGCCCTGAGGTCACTCTAGAACACGTGCACTCACTCGTCTCTGAAGAATGCTGTCCTCTTGAAGAAATGCAGGCCCCCTCGACATGGAAACACTTCAGCTTGTTTCAGAGGCGTGTTGTGTGTGCAGACCATGTAACTCATGGGGGATTGTCCATCCCCCTTGCACCCCAGATGTCTAATCCTGGAGCATTTTTACAAATCGTAATTTCCTGAGATCCCCATGCCAGACTTGTGGAATCAGAATCACCAAAAGGGATGTCAGCTTGTGTAGTGTTGACATCTCCCAGGTGACTCCAATGCTTTAAGTAAAAGGTTTACCTGGGATCATTAAGAAGAAGAAGAACATGTTTAGAGTTTATTCAAGTGTGAAGGACTAGAGAGGTTGCTTCTTGCTGGAAAGACTCCTGACATGCAAGGCTGGACACCCTCCAAAAACCTGGAGAGGCACATTTTAATGATGCACATCCATGGAAAATGGATTTGTGCTACATCTGTCCTCACGTGAAGGACTGAGGTTATTTTACAGAGAGAACTCCAGTTCTTATCTGTGTTCCTTCTGGTGTTTTTTTTTTTTTAAGATTTTATTGGGGAATTGGGGAAGGGGAACAGCGTTGGGTAATTGGGGAAGGGAGCAGCCAAGTTGTCCTTCAGTCTTAGTTGTGGAGGGTGCAGCTAGCTCAGCTCCGAGTCCAGTTGCCATCTGGCTGCTGGTCGGCAGCTCACAGCTGCTCAGCTCAAGGTGCCGTGTTCAATCTTAGTAGCGGGTGGGCGTAGCCCACCATCCCATGTGGGAGTCAAACCGGCAACCTTGTTGTTAGGAGCACGTGCTCTCACCAGCTGAACCATCCTGCCACCTGTTGGCAGCTCAGCGGCAGCTCAGCTCAGACACAACTCACTGGCCCATGTGGGAATCGAACCTGTGACCCTGTTGCTCAGAGCTCATGCTCTTAACCAACTGAGCCACTCGGCCGGGCCCTTCCCTTGGACCATCTGAATGACTTGCTTTCCCACTTCTCATTGTCACTCCCTTGCTGTGACTCTTGCTTCCTCAGAAAGAACATATTTGTCCTTTGCTTTAAGGCTTCTGTGGACATCCTACAATAAATGGAACTATATCAACTTTGTTTTGAACAATAAATGCTTGGGATGCGTGGTGTGGTGTGGAAACTGGGGTGGAGGGAAAGGCAATGGAAGGGACATTGATTCAGTGCTTAATATACAGCAGACTCAGAGCTAAATCCTGTCACATAGATGATCTTATTATTTAAGTTTCATAACAATCTTGTGGGCTTCATGGCACCTTCACTTGGCAAATAAGGAAACAGTATCAGAAAGGATAGTAAAGTAAGTCCTCAATAGGTTCTGTAATTTTAAGCAAAACGTCTTATAAGGAAACCAATAAACAAGAGTTAAGTTCCTCCAGCATCTCATCAACGTTCTAATGAAACGATGGTTGACCAAAATGATGTTATGCAAGTACCTGCTCTGTCTCACCCAAGATCACACAACACCATATGTGCTGGAGTGATGTGAACTCAGCTCTCTGTGAGCACTGCCCTCATGTTCTTTCTATGAAAACAGTGTGTGATTTGGAAGTGGACCAGGATCAGGAGACCTTGGGTGAAGACGTTAACCTCTCTGAGCCTCATTTCTCTCAGTTGCAGAAGAAACAGGTTGAACTTGCTCTCTAAGATCCTATCTAATCTAGATTTTATTTCTTAAAAGATCTTTGACACTTGAAAGCAACCTTGGGAAAAAAAAAAACTCTGCTAAACGATTGCTGTTGTTCCCTCAACTTGAGATTTCAGTAACAAAACTATAAATCACCTAGAATGCAGGGGAAAAGGCCTTTTATTTAAGTCTATTTTGAACCCGTGTCTTTGGAGCTGTGCCAAGAAGCTGGGATCTTCCTCAGTAAGTGCTGTGCGGCTCACATTTCTAGGGATATTTGATCAAAGCTCTTAACAGATTTGTGAAGGCTTGGCTTCAGTGCCCTGAACTTTGAGCGCATTTAAAATCCTCCCAGCAGCGGGGCTGGCTGAGTGGCTCAGTTGGTTAAGAGTGAGCTCTGAGCAACAGGGGTTGGAGTCCCGGCCTGAGCTGAGATGCAGCTGAGCTGCCAACAGGTGGCAGGATGGCTCAGCTAAAAAAATTTAAAAATAAATAAATAAATAAAATAAAGAAAGAAATAAAATCCTCCCAGAAAACCACTGGCAGGGGCTGTCTGGCATCGACGCTCAGAGCGATGGCCGCCCTCTGTAACCTTGTTAATCCCCCACCTCTCCTTAGGAGCCACACAGGGCTCGACCATTCATCAATCTGCCCAAACCCTTGCTGAAGTCAGCCCCTTATTTCGGGCTACACAGACAATTATTATCTCTTGGAGGAATGAATTCCCTAAGTTGATTATTCCATGTGTCATTTTCTCTTGGATTCCTCCTGCCTTCACCCTCCTTTCTGTGGTGGGGTCTCTGCTGTGTCATTCCCCCCCACCCTGCCCCGTTTTCAGCCTCAGTCCTTCCGGCTTCCCAGGCCAACCAACATGTGAGTTTAGAAATGAGATTTTCTGGCTCTGCTTCCTTACCGCCCTTGGCCGCTCTGGGCACTGGTGTTTTGTTTTGGGTTTTTTTTTTTTTTTGGAGAATCTAAGCTTTGGGCTCTCCACCGATCCCCACATACATACTCATGTTTTACATGCAAAATGAAGGTGCTGGCTTTTAGTGTGTCAGACTCGGTTGGGATAACGTGGTCACACACAAAAAAATGGACACTGCCAATTTATCCTTTCTTTCAGATCTAGCAGAATAGAGCTAATGACTCATTCCCTGGGCACCACTGTGTGCAAGAGGTGAAAAATCAGTGCCCTATTGACAGGGTAATGAGGCTGGTTGGGATAGGTTCCAGAACCCCACAGGTGAGCAGGCCAGAGAACCCTGGGAATCACAGGAACCTGGGAAGAAAATGGTGGCCTCCTCACAGGTGTGGGGACCTGCGACTGCCCAGCATCACCGGTTCTCAGGATGGGAGTAGCCAAGACAATCCCTAAAATCAATGTCTTTGCACTCTTGTTGCCACCACTGGCACACCCTTCCACCCATACACATGCCAGTTAGCAGGGCACAGGTGCCAGTCAGGGTGTGCTGTTTGGTTGTAAAGAAGGGACCGTGTAGCCAGCACATGGACGGGTAGGGAAAGGTTGCCTGGTTGGAAGGTTCCAGAGGGGCGACTACCTATCAGGGTCAGGTGAGGGTACTTGATGTCAGGTGTTCGCATCGGGTTATCTCAGACACTCCCACCTGGCTTCCAGTCATATTTTGCAAGATCTTTGGTGGAGGAACCACCTCTCATACTAGAAGGGGCTGCCCTTTTCCTGCTTTGCTCACTCATCCATGTCACAGAATTCCTCACCCACTGTCCCTGTCTGCCAAGTCTATGCTTTACAGTAAAAGCATGGATGATGTTGAAACCTGATTCCCCCTAGGGGCAGTATACTTTTTGTTTTTACAGTAATCAAACCATTTGTGTGGTGTAATCCCAAACATATACTCTGCTGGGATAAAAGTAACCAACTTAACCAGCTCAGCCTCCCTTCCCATCCTGCAGTTCACCCCATTGCCCGCAATGGACAAGGTGGAGCGTGGACACTGAGCCCCAAACAGTGGGCCCTCTCGCAGGTGAATGGAATTCTTACTTCACAGTGGACTTCCATGAATCTTTGTTCTCAGAGTCAGGACGTGTGCACGAAGAGGAAAGGCTGTTTAGGGGGTTGCTGAGGTACGATCTGCTTGCCGTGGCAAGTTACACAAAATAGAAGCCGAGTTGCACCCTCTCGGAGTCACAAACATTACATGACCTTTGTCTAGGGTTTCAGGTCACTTGGGCCAGTGGTTTCTGGCCAACTGCATCTGGTTCCACAGCAGAAACACCTAGAAGACATTTCATGGCAATTCAGGGCTCAGAGATGTGTTCAACAGGCCCGGGGATGTTTCTCACCAAAGCAGAGGCCCCAAATAAGCAATATCATTAGTTGTCCAAGCAGTGAGAGAGGCTCCTTTCACCGGCCTAATTTTCTGGATTTTTGGAACTAGGCATTTTCATACAAGGGCCACATGCTCTCTCCCAGGTCTGTTTCTGCCTTAGAAGCTCCTTTTAGGGACACCAACTTTTGGACCCAAAGAATTTGACCTCATCTGGATAACAGTCTAGAAAAAAGTGGTTGCTTCCCGAGTTGGGGCAGGGAGAGGGATTTGAAGAAATAGAAAGCTAGAGGGAAGCTATTGAGAGGGTGGCAGTGGATTTCCCGAGTGTGCCCATGTTTGTTTCTCTGCAGGTTTTGGCTGGTGATTAAGGAAGATGGACATATGGTCACAGCACGGCAGGAGCCTCGCCTGGTCCTGATCTCCATCACCTGTGAGGATGATTACCTGGTCCTCAGGGCCCCAGGTGTGGACCCGCTGGTTTTGCAGCGCAAGCTGTCTTCTTCAAACGCGGTCCACAACTGCAGGTACTCTACCTGAGGGCATCGGAGCCCTGTGACCAGGCCCGATTTCCTTTTAGCCTGTCTTGCTAACGTTTGCACAGTAGGTAATGAGATTGGTAAACCAAGGAAGTATTTAAGACAAGTCTAGCCTGGGTTGGGATACAGCCAGTGGTCAGGTGTGAGTGGGTGATGCAGGACATGATTTTAGGGTCTGTGGGATTTGTTTTCATCAGGTGTGGAAAGACATGCAGACACAGAAATGACTGTCATGAAGAAAGAAGTTTTTTATAGTCACAGATCCCTAGAAACAGGAGGCCGATGCCATGGAGGGCCACGCTGGGAAGCACCAGGGTTGCTCAGGAGGCCGAGGGCGAAGGAGGGATGTGAGCAAGAGCCTTTACTGCGATTTCCACAGGAAGGACTGGGTGAGGCAGGATAAACAGGCTTAGGATTGGCTAGTTTGAATAACTCCAGTGGGCTCTGGGCCACAGAGGCCGTCCCTAGGTGTCTGGTACTTGGTCCTGGGTGATTCGGGCAGTAGATAGTGACCAACAGAGAAGATGGTTGGCGCTGGGGGCTGTGCACTAATTGGCGTGCATACAAAAGTCTAGTGATTTACTATCTCCAGGAGTTGACCAGCCCCGGGAGGGAAGGTTTCTTTAGAATCAGCAAGACCCCTGAGACGTCAAAGCATCAAAATACAGAAGATTTTAAAAAGCATGATTAATACAAACACAGGAGGAATACAAAGAACCCATCTTTAGGGTTTGTCTCTTTGTATTCAAGTTGAACGGATTTCTGTTCAGCGTGGCCAGCCCTCCAGCCAGGCAGACAAGGGGGTTCGTGGAGATGTCACCAGCCGTATCTCAGGGTGGGGTGATAAGAACTCTGGAGCTGTTCCCGGTGTCTGGATGACCTGGAAGTCGAGAACCCTCAGAGTTTGGAGACACCAGCCCTGGGCACTGTGCTTCTGGATTGACATAGAGAGGGAGGGAAGGCAGCCAGTTAGCACACCATCCTGTCCTGCTCATCAGACATGCTGTAATTAATCCGGCCTGCGTTTATGTATAAGCCATTTTTAACGGATCGATTGCCGTGGGAACTGCTAAAAGACAAAGAAATGGTATGAATTATCATAGGTGGTGCGTGACAAACAGAGTGACTATCACAGCCCGCTCACCAGGGCGTAAACAAAAATAAAATAAATCACCAACCGCAAGTTGGAAAAAAGTAAAGAAAATCCTTTAACACAGCCATCTGAACTGAGGAGAGCGTGTGTTAATTTTTATAAGAAAATGCCAAATTTGTTTTTTATCAGAGTAAAGCTCCCTTGTCTCATGTCTTCATCCACTGAGTTTTGTTACCAGTGTTTTTCAGCCATGAGAAAGAAAGAAATCACGCTATTTGCGACAACATGAGAGGACCTTGAGGGCGTTATGCTAAGTGCAGTAAGTCAGACAGAGAATGACAAATACTGTATGACTTCACTTACATGTGGAATAAAATTAAACAACAAAAAACAACCCCCGCCCCCCCAAAAAAAAACCAAATTCATAGAAAAGGGGCTCATATTTGTGGTTACCAGAAAAGCGGGGGGAGCAGTGAATTGGAGGAAGGTGGTCAGAAGGTAGAAACTTCCAGTTATAAGATAAATACCGGAGATGTAATGTACAATGTGATGACTGCTTAACACTGCCGTGTGCTATGTTTGAAAGTTGTTAAGAGATTGTTAAGATCTTGAGGTTTCATCACAAAGAAAAAAGTAATTGCTTTCTTTCTTTTTTTTTTGTATCTTTATGTGATGAGGGGTGTTACCTAAACTTACTGTGGTAATCATTTCACAATATGTGTACGTCAAGTCATTATGTTATACACCTTAAACTTACACAGTGCTGTATATGTCAATTCTATCTCAATGAAACTAGAAAAAAATTTGTTAAATGTGGACCATAAAAGAAGACCTTAATGATGTATTTTAGAAAATGGATAGGGATAGAAATCTAACTGCCATAGGATTTCATTGCATCCTTTTAAAAGCATAATTTTATTGCATTTTAATATAATTTTTATAGATCTATAATATTAATATATAATATACTTTATCATATAATTTCATTTTAAAGATTAATATTTACAATTCAATGGAAATGGTATCCTTCACAACAAATTAAACTTATGCAAAAGTTTACATGTCAATTTACAACCCTGTGAGGGGTACCAAGCTTTGAAAACCTCTTTTAAGGGCCCACAAGCAAAAAAAAAAAACCTTGAAGCCCATTGTGTTATCTAATGAAGTCTGTGCCCACCACGCGGAGTATTGTATTATTCTTTCCAATTTACAACAGAAGGTCAGAGGAGTTAAATGACTTGCTGAGGTCACAGACTAGCGTAGCAGAGGTCCAGCCTGAACCAGGTCGGCCAGCCTCCAGGCTCAGGGTGCACCTGCCACACCTGAGGGGCGTCCGTCTCCCCTTCTAAAAGCATCCTAAATCCTTGCTGCTCGAAGTGTGGTCCATGGACCAGCAGCTTGGGCATCCTGAAGCTTGTTAGGAATGTAGACCCTCAGGCTCCAACCCAGCCTACGGAGCCATAACCTGCATTTTTCCAAGATCTTGGTGAGTTGCAAGCGCCATGGGGTTTGACAAGCTCGTTCCTGGAACACATTTTACTCCCTTCCCCCACCGCTTCTGCCCAGCGTTGGCCCACAGACCACTCACTGCCCCTCGGGTGTGGTCAGGTCCCGACGGCCCTGCTGTTCCGCCGGGACGCCGTCACCCAGTGTGTTGGTGTAAGACAGTAACTGTGGTCTCTCATCACCCTTCCAGGATTTTTGGCCTTGACATTAAGGGCAGGGACTGTGGCGACGAGGCCGCTCAGTGGTTCACCAACTTCTTGAAAACAGACACTTTCAGGCTGGTTCAGTTCGAAAAGAACATGAAGGGAAGAGAAGCAAAGAACATTTTCCCGACTATTGAACAGAATTACCAGGTGAGCTGACAGAGAGCTGCCCTTCGCTTCTACTAGCCACCCTTACGTTTCTGGCTTCCTTCTTGCCCCACAAGGAGCCTGTCTTGGGATCCCAGTTAGGAACGCGTTGTCACAGCCCAAGTGAGTGGTACTGAGGGTGCCACCCCGCCAGGTATTGAGGATGGAGAGGGAGGTGGATACGAGGGAGCATGGGCGGCCCCCCCAGGATGCCTAGGGGTTGGAATATGGGAGATATTGTGTAGGGAGAAGCCAGGAGCGACTCCCAGGGAGGTGGGAACTCAGGAGAAAAGGAGGGGAGGAGGCGAAAGGACGAGGTTTGTCTGGGACTCAATCCAGGTTTCCTGAAATGACAGAAGCAGATTTTTCTCCCAGCGCTGCCTTCACAGCCAGTGTGGGATGGTTATTTCAGGCACTGAGAAGACACTTCCTCCTGAAGAAAACGGTCTTCTGTGCCGCCTACAGCCCGAAGACCAAAGCCTTTGGTTGTGCGGTGACATAAGACTTTAAATGCAAGCCTCTCAGGATGTCTCCCCCATGCTCCCTGAACTACAAGCTCCTTGAATGCAGAGGGGGGGTATCTGTTTTGTTCACTGCTATTTCTCCACCTAAGACAGTGCCTGCCACATAGCAGGTGCTTATTCAGTGCATGTTGAGTGAATGGTGGCAGCTGAAAGAAATCATTAGTGGAGTAGAGTTGATTGGCCGCACACCCTTCCCCTGTTTGATGGTGATGATGGGGGAAGAGGGTCACCTGTTGGGCACCGGAGTGAGGGAACGAGAAAGAAAGTGAGGCCTGGAGGGTAAGGTCGCCGGAGCTGGGCTGCTGCCATCAGGGCGTGGATGAGGAGACCCGCCCTAAACCCAGAGCTGACTTGGCTGGGTTTTTTTTTTAAGTTGACAGCATCACTGCCTCTGTTTCCTGAACAGACACCACCTTCCCTTTCTGCCCTCCGGTGGTTTTGCTTCTAGACTTCGTTTAGCTTTGCCGTTGGTCTGAGGGATTTCATGGGGCAGTGATGCCTGATGGTGCTGTGTCCTTGGCACAGGTGGCCTACCCAGACTGCAGCCCCATCATGATCCTCTCGGAAGCCTCCCTGGCAGACCTGAATACCAGGCTGGAGAAGACAGTGAAAATGGATCAATTCAGGCCAAGCATCGTGGTGACAGGCTGCAGTGCTTTTGAGGAGGTAAGTGGCTCTGTGCTTTTGTGCATTAGGCTCCGAGGTGCTGTTCAAGATGCTGACGGAACTGCTCAGACATTCCAAGGTTGGTAGCAGGGGGGGAAAATCCTTCCCCAAGTCACCTTGACCTTGTTGTTTCCCTCATTGCTGCTGCCATCACTGCACTGGCCTCAGGGGGGCACTGGTCACCTTTTAATGCTTGGTCCCCCAGAGCAAGCAATGGGGACTCCAAATTGTAACAAGTCTGGGACTAGGCTGGAATAGAGAATCATAGCTCACAGATAACTAAAGGGGAATGGCGATGAAGAGAAAAGCCATCTCTCCCTTTGGGGTACCACGCAGGAGTGCTTTCAAAGATTTGAGACTCTTGGAAGCCCCAGACCCCAAAGTGATGGCCGAGGGGATACAAGAAAGCTGCCTGTGAATGGGGCCCTGGGGACATTCCATGCTGTGGCCTGAGTTCTCTCCCAGACGACCCACATGCTTTCCTATGTGACTGACACCAGAACTTCCCACTCTCCAGACACAGACCCTAGGAACCCTAAAGGGGCAGGTAACCTGCAATCACCACGAGCAATCATGTTAAACATGGTGGTTGGGGAGGTGGGGTGGGGGTGGGCCGCGGGAAAAGCAGTTAAACTTTATGAGCGCTGGGGCGAACAACAACAAATACCCTTGACTGGGTGTTTACTGAGTGCCAGGCCCCGAACTAAGGAATCCCTTTATACGAATTCGTTTCTTTGATCCTCACAACCACCCTGTGACGTCTGCATTATTTTCGCCTTTTCATAAGGAAGGTGAAGCTCAGAAGTGTTACACACCTTGTTAAGCGCGTAAGTGGTGGCTCTGGCGTTGGAACCCAAGCCTCGCCAATTCCAGCTTCTGAGGTGTTGAGGTCAAGGTTTCAATTTAGAAAGGCCTTTGAACCCCTTCTGAATTCTTTGCTCCCTGGGATGACTGCATGTCCTGTGTGAGTAAAAGGTGCCCCTGTTTCCTGGCCAACATTGTCCTTCAGCATAAACCTTTGCCGAGAACCTGGGAGAAATCCTTGCACATGTAAGCGCTTCGTGTTATTCATGATTTAAAAAATAACCACGGACACACAAGTGACCTACTTGTTGATTTTTATCCTGTCGCTTATAATCTATTTTCTTTAATCCCTCTTTACATTTGTTAAAAATGTCTCTCTTGGTTGCTGTTGTTCTTTAATTTTATTGGGAAACGGTGTGTTTTTTCAGGACCCATCAGCTCCAAGTCAAGTAGTTGTCTTCAGTCTAGTTGTGGAGGGCGCAGCTCCGTGGCCCATGTGGAAATCAAACCGGCAACCTTGGTGTTATGAGCCTGCGCTCTAACCACCTGAGCTAACAGCTACCCCAAAAATGTCTTTTAATTGACCATCTATTATGGGCCAGGCACTGCGTCCAGGAGCCCTGGATACAGAGATGCAAAGGTACAGGTTCTGCTCTCCAGAATTTCCCGATACGAGAGGAACGCCGTGAGATAATGTCAGCCCAGCGTGAGAAGTACTTTAGCACACATACTTAGCAAGTACCAAGGATGCTCAGAAGTCGAAATGCCTAAATCTGCCTGGAGAACGGAGGTGTGGGGGCAGGGGGGCGTCAGATCATGACATTAAGGGGTGCCCCAGGAGCATTTCAGGAACACAGGAGCACAGGGGGTAAAGAAGTGGTGGGAGGAGTGGCTGGAGACCACCATGCACAAGGAACTTAAATGTTATAATGCGTATAGTGACGGTAATGATTTTGAATAAGGAAGTAATTAAGATTTGCAGTCATATGACAGATAGCTACCGATGCCCACAACGTGCCAGACGTGATATTACTGGGGCAACCCTCTAGAAAGTGCATCCGAAGGTAGGGAAACCTGAGGCAGAAATAGCAGCGCCATGCTTAATCCCCAGAGGGTCTTTTTGGAAAACTATAGATTTAGCAGGCCTTCCCTGGGACCTACATCAGAATCGTGATGCCGCCTGGGACTCGGCCCCGGCAGCGCCACCCCAGGTCAATCTTGTGCAAACGGTGCCTGGAGAAGCACTGACTTAGGAAGGGTGAGAGGTACGGAGAGATACAGAGGTGGGGCGGGAGAGGAGGAACGCTGACCTTCTCAGGCCATTGGCTCCTTGAGGGAAGCGACTTGGTTTTGTGCTCAGGAATCCATCCAGATTTTGTGAGAACTGAAGTTTACACAATGTGGGGGCCCTCTTTAAGAAAAGAAAATAACAAAAACAAAATTAGGTGCAGGGTCTTGATAGGGTCCAGTGTAACTGATGGGCTCAAGACTCAAGTCCCCTTGGCTTTCTCGTAAACGCACCTATTTCTTCTTCTACTTCCCCATGCTGTCTCTAGGATGTACATAAGTATGGAGTTGTTAGATGCTTCTTGAACACCGAATAAATTTGTTCTCAGTGTTAGTAATGCACGTTACGAAAGATTGAATTCAAAATTGGTCCACGTCCCAAAAATTCTTTCACAGAAACTCTAACTAGGCCATTCTTTTCTAAGAAACTTTCTTTTTTTATAGCTTCTCAGCCTTTTGGCTAAGATCAAGTATAGAAACTTTCTTTTAGAGAATACAATTTTTCTTGATTTGTCTCCACTGAAGGATAAATTGTTTTGATACTAATTTTAATTTAAGACCTTGAGCCAGGGGGATAAGAAGAAACGATGCACTCATTCCTGCCTAAAGAATTTTTGCTTTCCCGTAACTTGCCCAATAAGAATTTTTGCTCTCCTATAACTTGTCAAACTGAACCAAAGGCTAATGTAAGCCTAATCATGTTCTCTTGGGCAGTTTTAGTGGATGGAGTCTTCTTTTTAATAATTAAAAAAAAAGAATTGTTAAGTGACCAATGCTCCAAAGTCCATTTGTTGTTTTATTACAGCATTGCAATGGGCTTGCAAAAATAGTAATACTTGTTTTTCTAGAATAACTCCAAGTTTTCTAGAAGAGTCCTCTGGTTATGCACATTAAAAAAAAAATCCTTACTATAAAATGATGCTAATGTTACTGATTTATTCTCCCTTAAATTAGGAAACTTAATAGTTAGCTATCTGATGCATTAACCTATCTACCTGGCACCATTGCACAACTAGAATCCTTTCATTTAATGGGACTCTGTTAAATATTAATGTAAAATGATAACGCACATAAATATTTAATAAACCAACTAATAATTAAAAAATAGCAATCTAAGCATGGTGGAAAAATTCAGGCCAATATTTATGGCAAAAATATAGAGTAATAGGAAAATACAATGTGCAACATTTACTCTTTGTGAACCAAAGTACTTTGTACTTTTCCTACGTAACTCAGAATATTAAGCAGATTTTAAAACACAGCTTCCCTTGACCCAGCATGGCGTGTTTGAGTTCTGGAATGCAGAGCAATGCAATTTAAACATAATAAAATTGACCAATGTTTCTTATCTCTGTAGCCGACTGTTGTGGGGGGCACTTTGCTTGCTGTCCTGATGAGCAGGACTTGACATATTTTTTTATAATGTCCTATTTGTATCATTCCTCACTCCACATTAAGAAAGGACAGTGGAGAAGCCTGCAGAAAACCCTCTGTGTGTTCTCTGTCCCTCGGAAAGTGCTTCTCCAAGAAGCTTCTAGAGAGGCGTAGATATTGAAACCAGACAGCTGTGGTTGAATTCCATCTCGCACCGCCCCACCCCACTCTCCAGCCGCCATGTAAATTGGGTTCTCCAGTATGATCCTTTGCAGCTGCTGAAAAACAAAGGTTTTGCAAATCATCATTACCAGACTTTTCTGTCCCCAGTCACCAGAGTCAGGATGAGTTAGGATTTTATTTGGGTGCTTAGATAAGAAGCCTATGTTTTGACATAAGGACAGCAATCTCTGCCTGGCTTCAAGAATTTCTGAAGTAGCAATAATAAAAATAATATAGAAACCAATAACAAAAGTAATAACAACTATGACTTGCAGTTATCAAATGTGTATTATGTAACAGGCACTGTGCCAGACCATTTGTGCATTATCTCATGTAATGTTCCTAGTTACCTTTCCCAAACTGCAGGTCACAATCCATTATTGATTTATAATATCAGTTTAGTGGATCCTGACCAGCATTATTAAAAAAAAAAAGTAATAGAATAGAATAAAAGCTATCAGAGTAAACTGTATGTAGAAAGGTTAAGAATTGTTTGCAAAACTTATTTAAGTTATATCTGGGGTGTGTGTGTGTGTGAGTGTGTGTGTGTGTGAGAGAGAGAGAGAGAGAGAGAACATTAGGAAACAATATAAAATGTAATTTTTTTTTAAGATTTTATTGGGGAATTGGGGAACAGAACAGTGTTGGGGAATTAGGGAAGGGGAACATTGTGTTTTTCCAGGACCCGTCACTCCAAGTCAAGTTTTGTCCTTCAGCCTTAGTTGTGGAGGGTGCAAGCTCAGCTCCAAGTCCAGTCGCTGCTTTCAATCTTAGTTGTGGGGCGGGGGTGCAGCCCACCATCCCATGCGGGAGTCGAACCGGCAACCTTGCTGCCAAGAGCATATGCTCTCACCAGCTGAGCCATCCTGCCACCTGTTGGCAGCTCAGCAGCAACTCAGCTTGAGTGCAGCTCACTGGCCCATGTGAGAATCGAACTGGCAACACTGTTGCTCAGAGCTCACGCTCTTAACCAACTGCGCCACCTGGCCGGCCCTAAAATGTAATTTTTTAAAAGACCTTTTTAGAGCAGTTTTAGGTTTACAATAAAATTGAGAGGAAGGTACAGAGATTTCTCATATAGCCCCTACTGTTATAGTCACCTACTGAAGGACATCTTGGTTGCTTCCAGGTACTGGCAGTTACAAAGTGTAATTTTCTACCTTGGTTCACGGTGGTTCATGGTAGAACATGTTTGATAGCCACTGAGGTGAGTGGTATTTTCCAGATGTGGAAACGGAGACTGAGAGAAGTTGAGTAACTTGCTCAGCGTCACATAGCTCGTGTGTGCCAAGTGGGGACATGTGCTCCAGCCGTCTGTCAGAAGTCCATGACTTTAGGCTGTCTCCACAACTCTGCCCTTTTTAAGCCACTTAGCAAAATCCGCATCGGGTCCCCACTCACTCTGGGGTCAGGAGGATCAGGTGTCTGCCCCTGGCAGAGGCAGGGCCAGTGGCCGTGGAATGCCAAGACTCATGGGCAGGCTGCCTCTATGTGGAGGCGGAAGTGTTGAATGTGTGTCTCATAACTGACTGTCCTCGGGTGACGTCCCACTCCACAAAGAACCGTCAGATTCTAACTTGGCTTCCACGGTAGCTTAGCTTTACAGAGAGAGTGGACTTGTCTTGCAAGCTGTACATTTCTCATTATATATCAATACATTGGCCTTGGAGTGAATTTATGACCCTCGTGGCAAACGGTCCCTCAGAGAAGGTCTGCTCTTGAGGTGCTGACAGAGTCAGTATCTCAGACTGTAAGTCACCGGGTGGAGCCCGGTGCTGCCTGCCCTTGAGTCCTTTTCGGAGGTGCTTCCTGGGGTCGTCTTGCATTGCTTTCTCCTGCTTAGCTTCATCGTTCGTACCAGCCAAAGAATAAACGGCTTCCAAGACGAATGCATTCGTAATTCAAAAGATAACTGTACCTTTTCTCCTAGGATAGTTGGGATGAACTCCTCATTGGCAACGTAGAAATGAAAAAGGCTTTGGCTTGCCCCAGGTAAGGATTCTCGCGAGACTCGACCTCTGGGGTGTGGCTCGCCCATTGGTTCTTAACCGTCAGGTAAACCTTGGTAATTATTGCATGACAGGTGCATTATGACCACGGTGGACCCAGATACTGGAGTGATAGACAGGAAGGAGCCGCTGGAAACCCTGAAGGGGTAAGACCCATGTTCAGTGTATTCTTAATATTATCCCCACCTAGAACTACCTGTGCTGGAGGTGCTCTGAGCACCTGGCACTCTACCATCTGGTTGGTTTGTGTCTATTGGTTAATGTGAGTATTACTTCCTCTTTTTTTTCTGGACAGATTTTGTAGTGCTTTTTTATTATACAAATTTTTCATTGTACAATAGTGTGTTTTGCAATTTTCCTGTCTCTCATATCAATGTTTGATAACATTTACATGTATTTTTCCAAATTAAAACCGCGAATACTTTATTGCAACTCAGATTTCTTTCTTAGCATCAGTATCAAGGAATATGAGAATAATTGAAGTTGTATAATGAAATAGAAAAAATGGAATGTAATGTGTTGTCAGAGGTTTGTTTATCTAGAAGCTTCTTTTACGCCAGGGTGTGTTCTCATTTGTTTTGTTTTGTTATTTAAAGAATTTGGGCTGACTTGATTCACAATGTGGAATGTATTTTTTAAACCAAAGTTAACATTTTGGGGGGAGATGTATTTTCTTTGCTTTCCTTTTTCTCTGTTTTGTTGTTGGTTTCTAATGAGTTTAGGTTAGAAAAGAGGTTATTTCTTGAAGCCTCCAGATTTACAATTCTGTTTTTTTTTTTAAGATGCAATGAGATTAATTTGTTTTCTTTAGATAGGACCTTTGAAAAAAATTCACTTCAGCAATAGTCCTGCCCACCCACCAGCTGTGTCTCTGTCTTAATTTTTGTTCATCAGAGAACCTCAACTTTAGGCTTATAAACTTGGAGGGGTGGAAGGCACCATGTTTAAATGCATTAAACAGAAGGTTTGGAGAGTTCAGGGTAGTTCCATTTTAAGATTGCATGAGCAGATATGTATGATATTGGGGGGAAATGGGGCAGCGGATTGGGGGAGGAGGGTTGTCACTTCGAGGGGTAAAAAGTATAATTATTGCACTGTGTTGTACAGCTGAAACTAATTCTAAAAAATGTATTTCATAATAAAAAATAATTTAATAAAAAAAGAAATTATTTGAAGTAAAACTAAAAAAAAAGATTGCATGAGCATTTGTTTCAATGAGTTGTGAAGTTGGAGGTACACATGTAAATGAAGTATTTATTTTAAGTAACATATAAAAGTTTATTGTTTTGTTTTTTGTTTGATTTTGGCCTCCAACTGAAGCCATGGAAAAATTATTTAGACTCTCTTTTTAGGTTGCTTCTAGAAACAGCAGGATTATTTGCAGTTTGACTAATGGCCCACAGACTTCTCTATCAACATTTCAGAAAAGGCTGGCCAATTTACTTATCAACAACGTGGGGATGAAAAAACTCTTGAATTCCATTGAAAGCACTTAGATTATTATTCCCTTTTTGTGCCTCATGATGAATTTTTGCTTCTTTCAGCTACCGCCTGTGTGATCCTTCTGAGAGGCATTTATACAAGTCATCCCCACTTTTTGGGATCTATTATTCGGTGGAAAAAATTGGAGACTTGAAAGTTGGTGACGCCGTGTATCAGATGGTACAGTGACGGACCCACGAAGGTGATATGGTAAATGGCCTGCTTTGCTTCTGGAAGGCCTTGAAGTCACTGCCACATTTTCTCGTGCTGACACATTTTTTTACGTTTTGTCGCTTTAACTGTTGGGAGAATGAGCAGCTTGTGTTCTGACATTCGGAATTCGGATGTGCCCATTATTATTATTATTTTTTTTAGCTGAGCCATCCTGCTACCTGTTGGCAGCTCAGCGGCTGCTCAGCTCGGGCTGGACTCGAACCGCTGTTGCTCAGAGCTCAAACTCTTGAGCGAGCTCTTAACCAACTGAGCCACTCGGCCGGCCCTGTGCCCATTATTTTTAATCCCCTCAGGATTCTGTGTTTTCCCACCCACTTTCTCCCTCCCACTTCCCCATTCAATTATACAATATTGTTGCAGGAGCCCCCACAGCAGACAGGGGTATGTGCTCAGTTCATTAAGGAATATTATTCAGGAGTAAGGATATGAAGGTGAGCGACCTTCAAGAGATAAATATTTCTTTCTTTCTGTCCCTGATAGAAAAGTGAAGGGGAAATGTTTGAAGTATTCAAAATCAACTTGGGGGAAAATGGTACATGCTTTGTATCAAATAACTTTTTAAAATAAGATTTCAAGTTTGAGAAAAGTCAGTGCGTTAAGGTGCCTGATTCTGAATCGTAAGGCAGGAAGCCATGGTCTCACATTGATTTCATCAGGCCAAATAAAAGCCTGAGCCCTGGAGCGTAACGCCCGACCCTAAAATTATAGGAATGAGAAAGTCAGCGGGAAAACCTCAAATTGAGGTTTATAAGCAACTCCTCTCGTAAAATCCATAAGCCAGTTCTTAAAGTCACCTCATGTCCAAAACTCTTGGCCAGCTTCACTTTCACTTTGGCCTGACCTTCTCACCTGACCATTTTTAAGGACAACATGGGATAGCGGTCCAGACATTTCCTAACTTGTTTGAGTCATTTATCAAGGCAACAGTTACTCCATGTGGGGCCCAGTCCTAGGTACCATAGTGAATATAGAGATGAGACAGGCTTTGCCCTTGATGTTGGCAAAAAGGAGAGAAACTTCTATTGGCAACCTGTTATGATCAGGTATTTGCATAATTGTAACCGTATTCCATCGCTTCTAAAATGCCTACTTTGTCCACGTTTTAAGATTTCTGAAATCTTAAAACATTCAGGATGCCTTTTGGAAAAAAAACTTAGTGATGTATACCATAATGATCCACCGTGGGATCTGATGAAATCCAGTAGGTACTAGAGTGAAACCTGTGAAATTCCTGAACGCCTTCCATTTCTAAAAGCCCCATCTGGGGAAAATGGAGCCCAAGCCTGAGCCATGTAGCTCGAGCGAAGCTGACTCTGAGTTCCTGCTGTTCAGGCCACAATTGACCGGACCTGGTTCAGTGCCTGAGCCAAGGTCGTCCATGTTTTGTCTACCTTTGAGAGAGCCCAATGGCCTCTGAGGTACCTTACCAGTTAGGGGTCCTTCACGTTGCTGGATCTCAAACCCACTCAATCCCATCCTGTCTCACAGTGCATGGAGGCCAGGACTACCTGGGGTTCACTCTGCCTCAGCCGATTTCCAGTTCTCTCAGCTCCCCAGGGAGCCTTGTGTATTAAAAAACCTACTCCTATTAGGGCCTCTGTGAGATAGGTGTGATAATCCCCATTTTCAGGGACATAAAACAAAGGCTCAGAGAGGTCAACGGACCTGGGGCCAAGGAGCTGATAAGCGGTAGAGCTAAGAGACCATGCTGTGTGCACAGCTTATGCCAGACATTGTTATGTGTAAAGAAATAACAACTCGCGGGAGAGACACGCAGTGCCTCCTGGCCTCAGAGGCGAAGCAGATTCTTTCTGCATTGGGGCGATGGAAGAAAGCTTGAGGGTAGAGATGAAGCCTGAATTTGCTGAGGAACAAAAGTCAGGAGAGTGCTCCCGGGGTCTAATGGGATGGAAGCTCCTTGTAGGGACCTGGGAGGACCTGGGGGTGATGGGGATGGAGAGGAGGCTCTGGAAAGTTAGTTTGCAGGGAAAGGTAGCCGTGGAACATGTTTAAGTCCAAATCATGATCACAGCTGCACTTTTTGGAAGATTCTGCCGAGTGCCATGTGTGGGTTGGACGTGAGTGAGGTGAGAAGGGAAATGAAAGTCCTGGCAGGCATGTGACTTAAGTCGGGGGAGGTGGGCATGGAGAGGGAAGCATGGAGGGCCCAGGTCCTCAGCGTGGCATAGATGCTGTTTGTCATTTGTTCCCAAGCTCCCTTTCAGCTTTATGACCCCCCACTACCCCCCACACACCCCGGGCACTTGTGCTTCTCCTCCGTGAGTGCGGGCCCCTCAGAGCCCCACCTGGGGAACTTGGAATAAAGTCTTTCCTGCCACCTGCTCCCCAGGAGCGCCGAGAGGTGTCCTCTGTGGTGATCCATTTCTGTTGGACTGTTACTCATTTACTTTAAGTGGGAGCTTGCTACCATTTCTGCATTCTGGAAGACCTCCTTTGTATGACAGCTTGACTAAGGCCTTTAAAAAAAAATAGCAGTTCATGCTTGCACCAGGGTGACTTGAGTTGTTTATTTATCCATTTAAAATTTAATTATATAAAAGTTGATCTGTTCCATTATAAATGCAATACATGTTCATCATGGCAAATTTCGAAAATATGAGACAAGTAAAAGGAAGAAATCATCCATTGCCAGTGTTTATAAACTTTATTCTGGTTGGTTTTTTCTGTTTGTTTGTTTAATGTAGCTGTGATCTCTGATATGTAACATACAATACTATACAATATATCATGCATACATATATAATTATATATAATATATGTTATACATATGTAGTATATAGCATATGATACATATATACACAGGTATATATATATATATATATATATAGAGAGAGAGAGAGAGAGAGAGAGAGAGTATTGTTTGAAATATATACAGTAGTATATATCATGAGCATTTTCATAGTCCTCTAATCTTTAAATGTCATTTCTGATGGCTTCATAACATTACATTGTACAAATATATGACATTTTTTAAATACCATTTTATAGTAATTCACTTGTACTATATCCAGTTTCATTATAAATAATATTGTAGTATATATATATAT